TTAGACATAATTAATAGCTTGAATTGATTTCTCATTATTCCATGTAAGAATTATGTCATCAACATAGTGAAGCAAAACAGCTTTCAACTATTTTGTCTAATTTAGCGTCTAATTTATTTTTTATTTTATTTAGTTTTAGTCCTAGAATTGTAATAATGTACCCAAGTCAACTACATATTCATTGAGTTCTGATAGTATTTAGGTCTCGACGGAGGAAGGATACTCTGGCTCTCTCACTATAATTCAGTCAGATGCTAGCTCTGTATCTTCTCTTACTTGAATGAAATTTATCCCTTATAGACATGCTATTTCTAAATTATGTCACTTAATTAAAATCTTTCCTTAGTTTATGATGCATGCAACCATTTCATTAACCCTCCTTGTAAATAATTGTTCGTTTCAAATTATAATGCTTAACTTTATGATGTGTATGCATTTAGTATGAAAAATAAATACCCTTTGGATAATACTTGTATTTCATATGGAAGTCCACACTACTAAGCATGACTGCTTGGGTGACAAAGAGACATCTATCGTGCAAAGGCAAATACGGTTGTCGTAAACATTGGGCGGCGAAGAAGACGTCGCGCAAAGCTTGTGATGTCAGACATTACGCAACGAAGAAAAGTGCTTTGTCGTGCAAAATGAATGTTGCGCGACGGATCTGGTGGTTGTTGAGCGAAACTAAGAGCGACGAATGAGTGTTCGTTGTGCGTGATACTCCGAGCGACGAAACTTGGGTTCGACCCCCAAACCTTTGCTCGACAGACATAAGGCCGTCGCAATCAGATTTTAAAATTATTATTTTTTAAATAATTTTTATTTATTTTTTCCTTTTAAATGTTGATAATATTGTTTTTTGTATAAATTAATTTAATGAAATTAAAAACAAAAAATGTAAAGAAGAATATTGAATTAAAAAAATTATTGAAAATGTACATACAACGGAAAGAAATATTTTAAAATTTGAAAACAATTAAAAAAAAAAAAAACTAGAATATGTAGTCGTCCACATCACAATCGCCTGCTCGTGGTGTTGCTGCTACGTTGGGGGGCTGGGAGGTCATAACTGCTACGACGGGGGGCTAGGAGGTTGTTGCTGGAGGTGGTTCATCAAACTGCTGAACTGCATTTTTTTTTGCTCCAAAAAAAATTACCCGCGGTTTTCTTATTGATTTTGAGTGACAAGTTTTTTTTTTGGTCATGCAAACTATATTGCGCGACAAAGTTCTTCATCGCACAAAGTAGCAGCAATCTTGTGTGACGAAGCTATTGTTTCGTTGCGCCAATCGCACTTGCGCGACGGATTTTGCTTTGTCACACAAACATCTGTTGCACAAATAACTTTTCCTACTATTGCCACAAAACTCATTTTCTACGAGTAATGTATTTTCATAGTATAAATTTTATAATCGAAACCCTTCATCTTCTTAATCATCATGGATCGTCCCTTAAAAAAAAGGGCCATATAATTAAAAATGAGTTTGAAGCATGTTGCAATGTTTCTTTCATAAAGAAAGCAAGCTGTATCAAAAATGAGGAAAGAGCGAGAAGTATGTATCATAGACATCAGGACATGGGCGGATGGACCATATAGTACGTACGTATCCAAAGTTTACGGATATATGTGCTATATATCAATATTCGTCATATATACGATTGACAATATACTCTACAGATGATCATATTTGTAAATATTGTGAACCGTAACAGTAGAAAATTTAGAGCTTACATTATTTCCATGTTACGTAAACAACGTATGGTCTTCGAATTAACTTATATATGTATACTACGTACTGACTGTGATCAGTAAAGAAGATTCCTTATAGACGAAGCTTAATAAGCTTTTATGTGGCTCAGTATCGTCCATTATGGTGCAGCCCCACAGCCAAAAGATAGTTCTTTGGTTTTTTCGACCTACAACACCATATGGGTCTCTTTCTGAAAGAAAAAAAACAGGTGATTTAACAGAAAAAGAGAAGCAAAAGAAAGAAATAAAGGTCGAAACTCTAGCTTCCTAATCCTTAGTTCTTAGTTTGCTGAAATAACATATATAAATGACAAATTAATTATATATACTCTGGTGTTCTCTTTTCTGTTTTATTTGAATTATGAGTTAGGCACTAAAGTTGTGAGACAAGCTGAAGATTTTGTGAAGCTAAAAAGGGACATAAAGGTGGATAAAATTCGGGGCATGTTACAGATATTTTCTTTATTGATCTGCCGTAATTGACTACTTAGGAGTAGACCCGGCAGTTTCTGACACGACACGATGACACGACACGAAAACGACACGAAAATAACGGGTTTCGGGTCAACACGATAACTTATCGGGTCATTATCGGGTGACCCGTTAAGAACCTGTTAATAACGGGTTCTTAACGGGTATACACGTGGGTAACACGTGGGTGACCCGTTTCGACCCGTTAAGAAAAAAAATTAATTTGATAATTTTAAAGTTTAATTACTAAAAGATTTATTATAAAATACAATAGCCATATTAATATATACAATATATTCTATATTAAATATATAGTTTTGTATTATTATTCTATATAAGTTATAAAAAAAAAGTTTTAGTCATTATTTATTTTTAGGGGCTTTTAGATCCATGTCCAAAAATATAGATGATTTTTAGGTGTGAGTCAAGTTATATAATTACATGTTTTTATTTCTTTTATACTCATTTTATAATTTTTAAAAATATTAAAAATCAATTAAAATCTTCTAATATGAAGCATTTTTCAACTCCAAAAAATCTAATTAATATCTTATAACAGAAAAAACTAATATACTAACATAAATTATCTACAAAACATTCTACCTTAACTTAAGTAACAAATATATGAATATATATTGTACCTATAAGCAAGATATGAAACCTAACTAAAAAGTAGGGAAAACATAATATACCTACAAGCGAAGCAAGACACATTAATCTGTAACACGTTAATTATAAAGAAGAATCTGTCATATAGATACAAAAAAATAATTAACCTGTGATATAGGTTGATTATAAAAATTAAAAATAAAATCTAATGAGGTTTAAAGAGGGAGGAAGAACAAGAAATAACAAAATAATAATAATAATAATCAAAGAGATAATTAGGAAGAAATTTGATTTTTATAATAAATCTTATTATTGAATAGATAATTATTGATAATTAAATAATTAAATTTAAAGAATTGGACTTATTTTAATAAATTGGACCATTCCTACTATTGGCTAAAAAAAATTGGACTTAGATCAAGTTTCCCCTTATTTTTATTATGAGACTTCTTTATTATCATTACTAATTTACTAGGATAATAAATTTTACTTAACAGTTAACATGTTCTTGTCCAAAATTAAAATAAACTAGTATAATATTTGTATAGGCAAGAACTAAGAAGACATTCATACAATACAAGTACGAAAAATGTGAAAGAATATATAAACACTTGCGATTCATCATTATTTATTCCTCTACGAGTAGATAATGGTTACACTTTATCGTTTAGATTTTTAAAATCCTCCCAAACCCTCATGAATAATGTTTTTTATTTGAGGGAAAAATTAATAAAATTAATAATAATTATTGTAGAAGTGTAAAAAATGTAACAAAAATATCCAATCACTCATAATGACAAGCTTTACAACTTTCATGAAGGGGTCAGCTTCGAAATCCAACACTATAATCCATAAACCTACCATTTATATTTAACCGTCGATTGTCATTTACGCTTTATTCTTGTTACTGAATTTCATTTTTTGAATTTTCTTTTTTGAAAACATGATCATCTGGTGGATGTAAGAAGATGAACGGTTCAGATCTTTGATATCACGTTTTGATATTTACGGTTAATTGAAATATGAGTCGATGTCATATAGTTTGTAGAAACTTTATAAACATCAAGCAATATTTTCACTAATCGTAAAACTCTGAACATAATATCAACGATCCAAACCGTTCATCTTCTTGCATCCTCTAATAGATCATGTTTTCAAAAAAGAAAATCTGAAAAAACAAAATCCGATGAGAAAAATAAAGCGTAAATGTAAACAATAATCAACGGTTCAATTTTGATCTATGATTTATATGATTATAGTGGCGAATTTCGAAGTTAAGTTCTTCACGAAAGTTGTAAAGCTTGTTATTACGAGCGTTTCGATATTTTTTCTATATTTTTTATACTTCTAAATTAATTAAAAAACTATTAAAGAATTTACTTAAATAATAGCCGTTAGATAAATGAAATTAAATCTCTACCGTTGGATTCTATTTCAATTATATTATTACATTTTTTTTGGACAAAAAACCTCTCATATTTTCCATTGTTTCCATTTGAGTCCCGACTGATTTGATCAAAACAAAAAAAACCCCAATGCTGCGGACTGCCTAGCCCTAAATTCTTTCTGTCTAGTCTCCCCACTCCCAACCCGCCCGCGGCGCCGTCTGTTCTTCCTAGCCCCTCTCGGCTCTCTTCCGACAGCCACGATCTTCTCGTCTTCCATTCGTACGACATCTTCCTATGTAAGTATTTCTCCCTCTTCAACCTTTCTCTCTCTTCACTCTTGCTTATGTAAACCGACGGATGATGAATTGTTTTATCAAGAACATCTCTACCATGTGAGTACAGTAATGAATTCAGATATGCTGTGAACAGAACATGTTTAAACATTTATACAGTGCATCATTTTCATTCAAAGAACTAATTGCCGTGTTTTGGTGGAGATAGAAGCAAAAAGTAAAAACAGAAATGAGCTGTTAGTAACCATATGCAATCTTTTGGTATCAACTTTATTTACGATAAGCCTCCACATCTGCAATCCGCATTACTGGCTTGCTCTTCCTTGTTAATATTTGGCAAATGAATACCAAACTCCGCCAGCTGTGTTGATAACTAGTCCAGTTACATTCAAAACATGTACTTGCACGCCACCCAGTAGTACAAAACCAAGGGTCTGAGAAGCAAAGAAACACATATAAACAAATTTTCTCACATAGGTCTTGGAAGCTATTGTTGGAAGTGGTTACATAGGTCTTGAGTTCAGTGATGTATATACAGCTCTTGGGAGTGAGGTAGTTTCTTTTCTTTCTATTTTCATTTATCTTCTGATTTTTACAATAATTCTATGTGAAATTTGCTAATTTTATATGGGTCAATCAGTAACTTTCCTTGTGTCTACCAGCTCAAAACCCACGTTTTATTCATTTTAATTTTTCAAGCCTCTTTTTTTTTACTATCTAGGAGTTCTTATCTCACAAGGCTTTGTAGATTAATGCCAAGTATTTTGTAGGTTACTTTCATTGAAGCTTTAGATCAGCTTATGCCTGGTTTTGATCCTGAGATTGGAAAGTTAGCCCAGAGGGTTCTAATTAATCCACGGAAGATTGATTATCAAACTGGGGTATTCGCATCCAAGGTAAGCTGATGATTGACTTCTCTATTAAGTGTTTTCAGGATTTCTGTTTCAGTTTTTTCAGGATTTCTGTTTCAGTTTTTCACCTTCTTTTGTCTCTGATAGATCACACCAGCCAAGGATGGGAAGCCAGTCACCATTGACCTAATTGATGCAAAGACCAAGGAACCAAAAGAAACTCTTGAGGTAAATAATTGGATCTGTTTGAACTGATGGTATGTATCTGAAGGATATAACATCCTGCCAATAGTGGATTGGTCCATATGAATCTGATAGACACAACCACATCCTTTTTTAGTTGAATAATACCCTTGTGAAGGAACCTGTTCCCGTATGTATATTGTTAAGTTGCAAATTTATAGATTAACCTGCTGTGGTTCTGTGGTCATTTTGATTCATTTATGCCCATTTTGATGCAGAAGCAATGGATGCTAGAGATTCAGATTCAGTAAACGATGAGGAGTCCGTGGAGATTATAATGGGAACAGAACGAGATCTTGGAAGCGAAAGTATAGACAATACAAATTCTAGTTCTGCAAAGAAAAAGGCTAGAGCAATCAATTTAGGTAAGCGAAAACTTCGATCTCCTGTTTGGAACACTTTCACTAAATTGGATACTGTTTTTGAAGATGGTAAAAGTCGTGCTCAATGCAAAGATTGTAAGAAGGTAATGATAGATGATAGTCTTCATGGGACAGGAAATATGAAAAGACATTTGAATACATGCCCTGCAAAGAATAATGTTGAATTGTTTATGTCGGCATCTGAATTGTGTTCCCAAAAGTTTGATCCTCTGATATTCCGTGGCTTATTAGTAGAGGCAATCATCAAGCATAATCTTCCTTTTACTTTTGTTGAACATGAGGGAATTAAGGCTTTGTTTGCATATGTATCTCCTGATATTAAGCTACCATGTCGAAATACTATCAAAGCTTGTGTGTTGAGGATGTTCAAAACTGAAAAACAAGCATTGCATAATTTGTTAGGCTCGGTTGAAGGTAGAATTTGTTTGACATCAGACTTATGGTCATCTCAGTGCACTGATGGGTATCTTGCACTTACTGCTCACTTTGTTGACAAGGATTGGAAATTGAATAAAAGAATTATAAGTTTTTGTCACATGCCTCCTCCGCATACTGGTGTTGCATTATGTGAGAAAATAAGTGCGTTGGTAACTGAGTGGGGGATTGAGAAGAAGTTATTTTCTATTACTTTGGATAATGCTTCTTCAAATATTTGTTTTGTTAACATTTTGAGGAATCAATTAAATATTAGAGGTCTTCTCTTGATGAATGGTGACTTCTTTCATGTGCGTTGTTGTGCTCATATTTTGAATTTGATAGTCCAAGATGGACTTAAAGAAATTGATTCTTCGGTGGTAAAAATTCGTGAATGCATCAAGTATGTAAAGGGTTCTGAGGCTAGGAAACTAAAGTTTCAAGAATGTGTTAAGCAAGTAGGGATATTGGATAGTAAAAGAGGTTTGAGACAAGATGTCCCTACTAGATGGAACTCAACCTATCTTATGCTAGATAGTGCCATTTTCTATCGATATGCTTTTATTAATTTAGGGTTGAGTGATTCAAATTTTGAAAGTTGTCCTTCTTCTGAAGAGTGGGATAAAGTGGTGAAGATTTCGAAGTTTTTGGGATACTTTTATGATGTTACATGCTTATTCTCTGGGACAAAGTACCCCACATCAAATTTATTCTTCCCTAAAGTGTTCGTAATTCAGCTTCAAATTAAGGCAGCCATTGATGATTGTGATAGTTTCATGAATAAGATGGGAGATCATATGCACAAGAAGTTTCAGAAGTATTGGTCAGATTACAGTTTGATTATGTCAATTGCAATCATCTTGGATCCTCGTTATAAGCTACATTTTGTGGATTGGGCTTACACAAAGCTTCATGGCGTGAATTCTATGGAATATAAAAATGTTTATGCCACATTGACTTCTCTCTTTAGTGTGTACTCGGAAATATCTGCTCATCTTAATTATTCAAATATTCCAATGAACTCGACACCTAATCATCAAACAGTAGGTGGAGAAGATGCTATCTTTGAGGTAACATAAAGTTTGTATTTTCCTTTTTATACATAGTACTTTAAAAGTTTAAAACTATTAATATTATGTTTGAAATTGGGTTGTGCATAATTTTTATGATGTTTTTTATTTTTTTATTTTTATGATGTAGGATTTTGATAATAATTACAATGGTCCAAACTCAGTTGAAAAAGGTGAATTACAAAAGTATTTGGATGATAAAAGACTAGATAGAAGACAAGATATAGATGTTCTTTCTTGGTGGCAAATAGAGTGTTTTCATTATCCAATACTTTCTCAGTTAGCACGAGATATGCTAACAATTCCTATTTCAACTGTTGCGTCAGAATCTGCTTTTAGTATTGGGGGTAAAGTGCTAGATCAATATCGTACTTCATTGTTGCCAGACACGGTTCAAGCTTTGCTGTGTACACGAGATTGGCTTTTTGGAAAAGGAGGTAGTATATCGTTATATAATATAGAGCTATTTTTTACTTCTTTTCATAATTATTTTTAGTACCCATAATTTGAATGGTTTACTTACAAATTACAATGTTTGATTTTTCTATGTTTAGATTATGCGGAAGAGAGTGCTAATGTGGAAAGCCTCAATGAAAACATCATCAATATAACTCTTGAAGATAATATATCAGGCCAAAGTTCCAATACTTTTTCCAATGATGATTAAGGAAAATTGAAGGGTTTGATTGGAAGAAAATGTGCAAGATGTTCTAATGTTCCAATGTCCTTAATTTTGCAAATCTTTTGAACATTTGATATTTTGTAATGTTCTAATGTTTTTCTATTATGCTCTTATTTTGGATATGTAAATATACACTTAAAAGAAAAATGTGTTTGTATGTTTTGGATGTGACAATACTTAAAAGAAAAATGTGTTTTCACTCAAAAAAAGTTTTAAGTTTTTATTTAATTATTTATTGGTTTAAAATATATTTTCCTTAACGGGTAACGGGTCGGGTCATATTACCCGTTAATATTATCGGGTCGATTTCGGGTCGGGTCATTTTACCCGTTTATTTTAACGGGTGTTACACGACACGACCTGTTAAGATATCGGGTATGACACGAAAACGACACGAACACGGGAAACACGACACGAATGCCAGGTCTACTTAGGAGTCCTATCTATCACAGTAATTTAGCATGTCATAATAATTAAGAACTATAATTTTTTTTTTAGCAAAGCTACACAAGAAAAAGGAAAAACCAAGTGGATAAAATTCCCACCTTTTGTTTTGTATACATCTTTAGCATATAATAACCTAGGTTAGCATATGGTTCACAGGATTAATTAATTAGCATCCATCTCCAAGTCTTACTTTTTTGATAGTCACTGTATAATCAACTCTTCCTTCTTGGTTAAGAATTTAAAACAGTAAAAATTTCTTTCCCTTTATGTGGGATTTCGCTACCATGCGAGTTCCAAAATTCTTCTTGTTAGTGTAAGTATATCACTTATTAACTGTAACATCCCACATCATCCAAGGGAGTGGATTTTGTAAGCCTTATATGTTTATTCTCATCTCTTTCTCTACCTAGCACGAGGCCTTTTGGGAGCTCACTGGCTTCCGATTCCATCGGAACTCCAAAGTTAAGCGAGTTTGCACAAGAGTAATCCCATGATGGGTGACCCGCTGGGAAGTTCTCGTGTGAGTTCCCGGAAAAAAAAAAAACCGTGAGGCCGTGGTCGGGGCCTAAAGCTGACAAATCGTGCTACGGCGGAGTCGAGCCCGGGATGTGGTGGGGCCTGGTCTGGGATGTGACATTAGCTCATATGATTCTCTTAGAACCGCCTATAATGCTCTTTGCGGTGCATAATTCTTACTTGGCTATATATTTATTTTTACTTTTCACATACTCTTTTCAATTTTCGGCCGTCAAATCAAATGAATTGAAGAAGATTAATGGAAAAAATTAACAACGGTGTGTAGGAAATGAAAATGGATATGTGAATACCACTATGATCTATCCTTCTTACTTGCATTGTGATTCACCACAAAGAAGTATATTTGTCTATTTCACCCTAACATTACCAAAATTATTTGAGTTTATTTGGAAGCACTATGTTAACAGGAACCAAACACATCAAATGCCAAGGGTTCTTTTCTTTTCAAGAATGGAAGGGAACCATACCCTTCTATGGAAGGGAATCATAACTTTTAATTTATGATTTAGGGTTCGAAATCCTTCAATGTGACAAAAAAAAAAACCCTTTTATCTAAGCTAATTTTAACTCATTTATCCAGACGCTTACTATATGAGCTAACCCTTGGGTGATAATTAGCACTTTTTAAGTTATATACATTTTGGCGTTACTCAAGCATGCATATACTAACTACTTTCCTATGATACTATCTCAAAGTGCACTCAATCAGTTTATTACTTTTAAGTAGTTCTGAGAACAATAAATTAATTATATACATACACAGGCCAAGACCAGTTTATGATTAATATCCCACTCCCTAAACCAGGACCAAGGGTAACAATATTGAAAATTAGTCATGTTGGTAAAGGATACCTTCCGCCTCTAAGGTTGTGGCCTGATCACCTGGCCTTGTTAGTTTCCTTTCCTTTGATTGTATAGGGTTTTGGTGCCTGTGCCTATTCCCCTTTGCTTTCAGTTGTATCTCTGGAGGCTTTGGCCTGTTTTTAATGAATTCGTGTTGGTAAATGAATTAAGCAAATTATTCCGTACAGCTAATAAATAGATAGTGATATGTAATTTGGTTTACTGTGTCACGTTCTCTCTCTATTCCATGCATGAGGAGGCCAGGCAGAAATAACAACTAAAGAAAGTAGGGGTTCTATCATAAGATCAATTTACAATATAAGGAGTGGTCAAATCTCTTATAAACCCTTCTAAGATATTTTTACCTTCACATCCTCACCTACCCCCTCAACTATGGCGAGCTTTCAAACCGAACATGTGAACAACACAAATTGGGTGACATGGAGCACGTGTGGCCTTGAGCTTCACACGTGAGCCAACTTGCTTTTATACCATGAAGAAAGTTGGGGTTTCACTATTAAATTAATTAGCAATATAAGAAGTAACCCAACCTTTTATAATTAAGCCGTTGTAATATTTTTCTTTTCACCGATATGAGACTCTTTTACATTTATATCCTAATTACAGCAAGTAG